CTTCTATAGAAGAGGTTCGAACTAGCAGGAACCCATCCCTGTACAGTATGCAAAAAAAAGCTTCGGAACCAAACTTCACATGTGTAACAAGCACAGAGTCCCGTAGTGATGTGATTGCTATTCAGCCACTTCCTAACTGGCTTGTGACAATAGCAATAGCACTTAGACTGATATATTGCTTCACAGTGCTTTACAGCCCTCTCCAAGCAGTTTACAGAGTCAGCATATTGCCCCCAACAATTTGGGTCCCCATTTTATCAACCTCAGAAGGATGGAAGCCTGAGTCAACCTTGAGTTGGTGAGAACTGAACTGCTAAACTGCTGGCAGCCAGCAGTCAGCAGAAGTAGCCTGCAGTACTGCACTCTAACCACCATGCTCACGACAAGCAGAGTTAATGGTGAACACAGAAGTAAAAATCCTAAGTCATGTGATGTTTTATTTAATGACTGTGTTGAATCACTTAATGACTGAACGGGAACCAAGGTCATAATTCCATCACAGTCCTGTGATTTTCCACTTACAACTGTTGCACTTAGCGAAGGAGGTGCCAGTTCCAGTTGTGGTTGCTAAACAAGGACTACCTGCACAGGCAACCTCACCTTTTTGACCCCAGTTGAGACCAGAATTTCTGTTACTAAGCAAAGTGGTTGTTAAGTGAGTTGCAGCCAATTTTATGACAGTTTTTATCACAAGTTGTTAAGTGAACCACTGTAGTTTTTAAGTGAATAACATAGTCTTTAAGCAAATCCAGCTTCCTCTATTTTCTTCGCTCAGTGAGCCAACTGATCACAAGTGGCTATCATATGTCACCAGGATACGGCCATTGTCATAAATACCTACCAGTTGCCAAATGTCTGAATTTTGACCACATGGCTATGGAGATGCTGTAACTGTCGTAAATGTAAGGACCAGTCATAAGTCATTTTTTCAGTGCGCTTGGAACTTTGAATAGTCACTAAACAAAAGGTTGTAAGTCATCTGTATTTACTGATTTTATTGCAGCAGGCTCAGTTTTTCTTCTCTGGTTATCTTCTCTCTTGCTGAGAAAGAATGACTGATCCAAAGTCACTTACAAAGGTTGGGAGCTTATTAGGATTTGAACCCTGATCTCTGCTGAATGGGACACTTGGTCAAAAGTTTACACCCCTGTCAGTTTCATGACTCCAAAAAATGATTGAAATATAGACCTGTGACCAGGTGTGGGATGCTGCGGGTCTAACAACCGGTTCGTAACCCACACACATTCGCTGTTCAATGTAAATTGTTCTTCGTGCATACACAGGAAAATTTACAGTGAACTGCGCACACACAGTCACTAAAAACCAAAATGGCAGCAGCCAAGCGACAGTGAGGGAACTGGTTCAGGGATGTGGCAGGCCTGGGACCCAGGCCTGAATTCCACTCCCGGTTCAGCCAAACCACACTGAATCGGGAGCAACTCACCTCTGTGACCTAAAAGAAGTTTGAAAGGGGATGGAATTACAGAGATCGTTTGAGTACAGGAGATTTAAATATTCCATTTGGAGCAAGCCTATGTCAAATCTATGACAGATAACAGTTCAGAAAAGACCATAAAACCAGTAGCTCGTAACAAAACCATCAACTCAAGCCACCTGAGGGACCACATATAGAAGGCTGAAATGGAACTGAACTAAACATTCAGAAGGAATTTCAGCTAAGGCAGTAATTCTAAATAGATGGAGAAGCTTCAGGAAAATTTCTGCGCTTATTTCAAAAGTGAGTGATTTGCTTGAGAGCTGCCCCAAATCCTGCCAATACTGCTCCCTGCTGCCTTAAGCTTTCTTTTGTCTAAGTCAAACTTTCTCAAGGGCTTCACCTTGTCAAACAAGCTTCAACTAGCCAAGTTATTTTGATAGACAGGGGATACTTTTAATGCAAAAACCAGCAACTGATTTGACACCTCACTTGTCAATACCACATAAACAGAAGTTCTTGCAATTTATTTTGACTTGTTGATAGGAATATGTTTTCAGGCACAGGTATCAAGAACTGAATAATTCTTTTTTAAAATACTAATCTATACTGGCACAGCTAAGAGTCAATTAGACCATTCAGAAAAATCATGTAGAATATAAAACTCCATGATGTAAATCAGAGGTCACATTATGTTCTCACATACAGTACTTCTTTGCCCTTAGCAGGTGGTGCAATGGAAAAGAAAATGCCAAGATAATTGGACTATTGTTAATAAAAACAAATAAATCAAGGGGAAAATAACATGCCCCTCACCCCCAGCTAAACCAAACTCTGCTTCAGAAGGTAGCAACACTTGGCCAACATTTGTCAAGTTGAAAAGCTACGCAGAGTCAGGTCTGAGAAACTTGAAAACTTGATTGGGAGACCATCAGAGCTGTAGGTTATACTGGAAAATAAAATAAAAAACCATTCCAAAATAAGGCACTGGCAAGCCACTTCTATACCATTGCCAAGAAAACTACAGGAATGTGTTCAGAAAGTCAGCAGGACTTAAGCTCAACTTCAAAGGGTCAAAAATACCTAATCTCTTGTTTATGCAGAACATACATTTTTCAGTTGCACAGAAATCTTCAGGAAGCAGAAAGATGGAAGAAAAAAATTCCACATTGCTTGAAAGCTGAAGTATTTCCTTGTTTTCTGGCTTTTCACTCTATAAATATTAGCTGTGGAATAAGAGCTCCCTCTACTTGTTTTTCCTTCTTTCTTTTTCCCCCTCAGAGTTTCAGCTCTTGATTCCTTTTAAATTCTTATTTTTAAAAACGTTACTGGAATAAATTTAGCTCTCATTATCCTGTATGTATATGTATTATTCCTGCCAGGTAGCCTTGAGTTCTGGCCAATTTTGCAATACTTTTGACCTTCCACCAAAGTCTGTTTTTCAGAAGAGAAACCTATTACTTTTTTGCATTAGTGCTCCTCCTGCTGGCCCTCCTCAACTTCTCAACCTACATGATAAGATGCAATCACAGGACCCTTGGTCCTCTCCAAATGCCATTTAATAATTGCCATGTCTAAGTTACTGCAAGTTATTAATTTTTGAAGAGCATCATATCACATTGAGTTTGCTACATGAAATATACAGTCTTCCTCAGCAATTATTCCCGCATCAGAAATGAATCTTTAATGCAGTGCAGCTTACTTTGTTGATTCTCTACATAGGCTGTTTTACCTTCCTCCAATGATACCAAAGGAAGAGAACAAGAAGGGGATCTCTTAGAAAACTGCCAACCCAAACTGCCAACTCAATGGCTACATCAACCTCCTGAAACTGGTATCCACCTCCCAATGAGTTAACAGGCTGGGAATGATGGGAGTTGTAGGGCAAAGTTGAACTGTGCCTTCTCTTGAAGCAATAATTTGCAATGAGAATCAACAATTCTTAGATGTAAGTTTATTTTGCCTGTTCCTACATTGCATGCTCTCAATCTATAGGCCAGTCCTCAGTGGCCTGCTAAGGTCTTTCATTTGACACAAAAGCAAGCAGGGGTAGCTTATTTTTGTTTCATATTAACAAGAGGTCATATTGGTATTATAGAGCCAAGAAAAATAGAACCGTAACACTACGGTACCCATATTCTACAAGGATTTAATGCTAAAGGAAGGAAGTGGAGTTGAGCAAGGACTGCTTGGCTTGGGTTATCAGAAGATCAAAGCATGGTCCTAATGAAGAGTTACGGGGCTGCAGTGGCTGTTAGCTCTATAGAATAATGGATTTCCATTACATGAAGCAAGACTAGTTCAGTGCTAGGTAAAATAATAAGCCTTCCTGAAGATAAGAACAGTTTATTTGTTTATGCAAGTACTGGTAGAGATGGTAAGCTTAAATTAAATTCATAATTGTAAATCCCGCAGACCACTAATATGATCTGCCAAATGATCAACTGGGTGGGCGTGGCTAGGTGGTCATGGCCAACTTGATGTCAGCCATATCAAGGGGTGCCTCGTCAGCCTCTACTTGCCCCTCCCCTCCCAAACATCTTCATCTGCTGCTCAGGGTCATTAGGACCCCAACAGGAAGCAGTTGTTGGAGCTAAGCAGCCACTATGAGAAAGAGTTGGCAAAACAGCTGGCTTAGTTCAAATTCTAACCCAGAAGGAGACTCAGCAGAAGCACTTCACTGAGGACTATGACTTTCCAAGCAGAGGGAAGGCCTGCAGGAGTATAAGGCCAGGTACTGGTGCCTGGAGGCTCAGCAGCCTGAGATGGTCATCCAGTTCCAGGCCATGATGCAGTCCCACTGGAACAAGGCCCTCCAGCTCTTCACCACCAGGGGAACTTCCCTCCAGCCTTCGGCCAAAGCCCCGCACCAGCAGGCTGAAGCAGACCCAAGTTGGAATTTCTTCCCTTCCTGACCCACACAAAAAGACCCTAAAGGAGGAGACTCTCTACAGCAACAAAAACATTCATTGCATATATCTGGCCCAGGGGTCGTAGTTTGAGGACTCCTGATTTGGTGTAATATAAAAAATGCAAATAATTTTCTCGCAGACCACCAGTGGTCCACGGACCACCAGTTGTTGACCGCTGGTCTAAACTGCCCTTCTATGATTAATTTTTACCTAATCTTGGATCTCACTGGAATCTGCTTATTTTTTTCCCGTTGAATATACATGTTTTGCTATTTTTGGAACAATGCAACTGGAATTTATATATCCCACACATTCAAATCCTCATTTTTAATAGCAGATGTGTAATGTAAAGGAAGTTATTTTAAAAATTGAATAATAGAGTTGGAAAAGACCTTGGACCCTTAGTCCAGGAGTTCCCAATCTTTTCTATACCCCGCATCCCTGGAACGCTTCTGATATATTCTCGCACCCCTTACAAAAGTAAATACCTGATTTGAATTATGCATGTGCATTATAACTTTGAAACTTCTAAACCCAAGTTGCACCCCCTGGAATATCGTCTCGCACCTCCAGTTGGGAACCCGTTTCCAGTCCAACCCCCTGATCAAGCTTCCATCTCTTAAACACATCTATTTTATACCTGCTGGGTGGATGTTAATTCTGCATTAACCCCTTCAACCTGTAAAGAGCCCGAAGTATTCTCTCTAGCTTGTTGCTCTGTTTCTTGAGCTCTGTTGGTCTCTGGGGTGTCTGGTATGCTCTGAATTGGAGGCATAGGCTTGGAAGAGACCAGCAGTCTTTGAGAAGCAGATCTGGAAATGGCTGGTTTCAGGTCAGGTTCCTTGGAAACAGCTTTGTCCAGCAAGCCTGTAAATACAGAAGATTAAAAAAAAAACATGGTTGTGGGAATATTTGCAGATTAATGTCAAACTTCAAGGCAATGTCCCTCAGCAGTCCCAAACTGATTGCATAAGGAATTATCACTTGTTTTCCAAATCAAGTTTGTCCTATAGTGGGTTATTTTCAACACCAGGAAATGCCCTGAATAAGAGTATGGAGCATTCTTATCCTGCAGTTATCTCTATGCATACAGAGATCAAGGTGCCAGGCAGGGGTGAGATTCAAACATTTTTACTACTGGTTCTGTGGGCGTGGCTTGGTAGGCATGGTGTGGTATGGCTTGGCGGGTGGGTGTGGCTTGCTGGGTATGGCAGAGAAGGTTACTGTAAAATCCCCATCTCCTCCCGATCATCTGGGACTTGGGAGGCAGAGAATAGATGGGGGCGGGACCAGTCAGAGGTGGCATTTACTGATTCTCCGAACTACTCAAAATTTCCACTATCGGTTCTCCAGAACTGGTCAGAACCTGCTGAATACCACCTCTGGTGCCAGGTTAATCCAACCCCTACAATAATCATGAGCTTCCAGAAATGAATCCAAGAAAAAGCTATATCCTATTTCTGAATCAGTAACAACTGGGCCTTTCTCCTAATGGAAATGTGGAAAGAAGGATCATTACCTTTTGCAATTAATCAAAGACACAAGATCTAATGGTATCATCATCTTTATTTAATAACCCCATAATCCCTTGCGGGGTGGAGTCTGGGCAAATGATTGGAGCTGAGTGTTTACTGGCCAGATGCCCTTCCTGTCACCAATGCAGAATTATATTCAGCAGATATATTCTCATCGTGCCCAGAAAGAGAAATATTTGCTTAGGATCGAAATCACAGCCTCCTGATTGTGGGGCGAGAGCTCCACCATCTGGCCACCGCACCACACAATGGTATGCTATACCTTAAAAAATGAAAAAGGATCCAGTAAATTGGACCTTTTTTTAAAAAAATGCATCAGGCGTATACAACAAACTCAAACAAGGCTGGGCATATGAGCAACATGCAAGAAAGAGCCCAAATTGGTAATTCTATCTACTGCATGGCTTTGGCAAGCATTAATCTCATTTCAGTTGAAGGAGCCTTCAGGTTGATTTGAAAATAGTTGGTGTGCAAAGTGGTTCTCAGTTGCTTTCATATTGAGGTCAGTAAATCAAATCAAATCTTTATTACAATCCCAGACCAGCATAATGAAGTCAGCATGTTTATGGCATCACCTACTAGACTATTGGAGAAGAAGCCTGCACTACGCAGCGCATGTTAACCCACACCGTTCTTTAAACTTTAAATAAATACTTCCTTATTTTAGTCCAGTTGCCTTGCAGATATGTGTTTCCAGAGTGATTGATCATTGTATGTAGTAATGGCAGATTTTAATTACTCTGTATTTCTGCTCTCTAATGATGTAGCTTAACTGAGCTTTAGACCACGGAGCCAATGATTCAAGAATTATGGTTTCACTGGGTACGTTATTCTGGCACAGCCTCCAGCCATAAAATTAGAATAATGATAACTTATCCAAACAAGGCTGAAAGCTATACTTGATTTATAGCAATTATATATAAAGGTTACAGATAATGTTTTCTTACGAGAATTCATCATACCTTTTTTTGATGCCAGTAGGCCTTCGGACATTCTTCTTTTTTTGAGCTTATCCTTGATTTGTGCAGTCTCCATGGCTGCACTGTTTATCTCCAATTTGCTGAAACTGTACTTTGGCTGGGCATTAGGTGTCTGTGAAGAGCCATTCATGATTGTGCTGTCTGTATTCTTCTGGAGGCCATTTCTACTGTCCCAGCTCTCCAGGGAAGAAACATCTGGAGGTTCTCCTTTGCTTCCCCATAAACATGATTGTGTTTTTAAAACTGAGGCTGTGGAGCAATTTAAGCAGAGCGGCTTAGTTATTCAGACTAAATTTTACTTCTCCAGAGAACTAAAAGAGTCTGCAAAGATTCTCAGTCATCCAGGTCATTCTTGTCCCAAAGCTGCTTTTTCAGGAGGCAACTGGACTTTCTTGTTTTTTCTTTGAAGATGTTTCACTTCACTTCAGTTCTGGCAAGGTAGTGGGGAATGGAAGGACTGCAAATGACCAGCTGTCTTCAAGGAATATAAGCTAGACAATTTGGGATGAACACACTTGAATGGTGTGGGAGTAGGAATGGATTTCCAGAGAAAAATTGCAGACTGCAGAAACCAGGAGCACTACTCAGGTGATCCTGAGGACACAGGAGAAACCTCCAAGTGCTTTAACGCCTTCTGAAAGGATGCAAATGACCAGCTGTCTGCAAAAAATATAAATCCTTCCATTCCCCACTATCCTGTCAGAGCTGAAGAAGCTTCTTGGATGAGAAGCAAAATGTCTTCAAAGAAAAAAACAAGAAAGTCCAGTTGCCTTCTGAAAAAGCACATTTGGGACTCCAGAGAATTAGGAAGTCAGGAGGTTGATTAAGTACATCAGATGCAAGGATAGTCAGCCAATCAGATGCAAAGTAAGATGTGGCTTCTCTTTCTTCTGCAAAATTCTGGATGCAGTAATAAAATGTTCTGGGGTAAAAATAGCTTATCGTGCAGGAATGGGTGGAAAAGTCTTAGAATTTGCAAGAGTATTGAATGGGATAAAATGAATACTATCTAGAAATCAAAACAGCAATAACATGATGACAATATCTCTATATAAAATTCAATTTTCTTTGTGTTTGTAATATGTTCCTGGTTTGAGAGCAGATCAGAATTATGCAGTATATTGTTGAACTGCTTCTGACAGGTTTTCCATGAGCTAGACTTAAATTTGCAGCACCACTATGAAAGGCTGACTATTTCTGCTTCTCCTGTTAGTCTAATATCTTCTTCTTTCAAATTGTCTCAATACTTGCAAGTTCCCATAATATTTCACCCATATTATATTGATAATAGCTATTTTCTGGTCTTAGCTAATCGCAAGATTACTGCTCAAGCTGTAGCCCCTTGGAGATATGTGTATACTGAAATATGTATGAACGTACAAACAAATTGGTCAATAAAAATCATACACAGTTCTACTGGATATTAGAGAAAATCAGCTTAAGTCTCATTTCCTATTTATTGGGGTCCACCAACCACACCCATATCTAGGCTGTCAATTATGCCCAGGGCAGTGTCCTCACCCTCATCTGTGGTCACCCATCGATTTCCATGGAGCTGCAAAGTAGAATCAATGCTTCCACCTCTAGATGACTTGCATCCAGATTTTAGTTTGGGGATGCTGCCACAATATATTGCAACTTGAGCTTGGTAGTTTCCTATAAAATAAAATAAAAATGAATAATAGAAGGGAGAAAAGAGAACCATCATTTGCTAATCCTTCAATTGTGCATATTCCTTGCTTTGCCTCAGGTTGATGCCACTCAGGACATAATTTTCAGGGAGGGAGCAGGGAAATACAATGTGTAAGCAAACTTTCATTCTGAGAATTTACAAAAAAAAGGAAGGAAGGAAGGAAGGAAGGAAGGAAGGAAGGAAGGAAGGAAGGAAGGTTGGTCTTTACCTGCCATAAAATCATGTGTTGTCATGCACCTTGAAGAGTCTGAGATACCTGCACAGCTAAGAGCTGCAACTTCTACTCCATTTTTCTGGACCCAGAACAGTTGTTGCTTCTTTCCCAAAATATCTCAGTTTCTGCACGAAAGGACAGTATAAACATCACAATGTATGGCATCATCTTTATGTCTATTACATTCTCACCTGCCAGAGAAATTTTTAAACACATAATTGTTCCTGTCAGCTATTTTGATTTAGCCATAAACTGTTGCCACCATTAAATATTTGAATAGAAAATAGTGCATAAATTTATGACAGATAAATGAATAAAATAAAGAACTGAGAACTGCTTTATACATTTAAAAAATCCTACACAAAAAGAATCTTTCTGTTTAAAAATCATGCAATTGCCATATTGAGTGAAATAGTCATGTGAATTATTAATCGAGTTGCAAATCCAGAATAGGAAATTAGTCTTTAATATGCATGACAATAGTTTTCTGGTGATGGTAGGATATGGAATTCTGTAGTAAATAGATGTGGATGTAAAACTGAAGGTTGGATGGGTTGCTTGCAATGAAGACATTTTATGTTGCCTTGTGGAACCTGATAAATCAGAAACTCTTTCGGTTGGTACTTCTCAGGGATGACAACTAAGACGTTTGCCTGTTCTTCGCTGAGAAGTCTGATGATGGTGGAATATGTAAAACTTCAAAAAGAGCAGACTTGTAATTTGTGGTACTCCTAAATTCATAAATGTTCATAAAGGACTAAGACAAAAACAACATCTTCAATTGGTACCGTACAGCAGATATGACAATAGGAATAGCTGCAAAGGTACATGCACTGGTAACCTCACATTGGGTGTTGGGTTACTCTAGTGTACTCTAGGTGGAGTCACCTTTGCTCTTTGCCTGAGGTTGCAGCTGAGCAGAAAATAAGAGTCAATATGTTGAATGGGACACCAGCAGATTAGTTTTAAATTATGGCTATTAGTAATTGAGTCAAAGTTTTTGCTTTTGACTTATACTGCCTGATGCAATCTGAAACCATAAGAAACTGTAGATGGCCTTTCTTTCCATAGAACCAGATGGTCACTAAGATTAACAAAGAGGCCATACTGCATTTACCTAGCCATCTGACTGTTAAAGACAAATAGGCCTTTTCTGGCTTCCTTGTCATTCAGGAGACACCATATTTCTTAACTACTTTGTTAAAGATTAATGTATGAATCCAGTTTTTTCTTTCCCTTCCATATTTTTAATGGTTTTATGCTTAGTACCTATTATTTGGTGTTATGTGCTTCATTTAACTGAATGTAATATTTATAGTTGTTGACATAAGGGATAAAATCAGCAAATAAATATGACTTTAATACAGCTTCTTACAAAGTTTTCAGTTAAAAAACCATTGCATCAGGAATTTCCCCAAAATGCAAAGTCCACAAGATCACTAGGTCACAATCATCGCATTTCTGTTGGCAATGCAAATTAGGTCAATTTATGTCCATTTTCAGAAAAAATCAAATTTGTGGGGTCCTCTCTGAATTTGATTATTTTCTTGCAGATATTTCATTTCCCAACTGGGTAGCATCATCAATGCTAGCAGTGGATGTTGCTCTCTGTTTATATGCAGGATGTAGTTTTTCCTGTGAGTGTTGGTAGGTGTGCTCTTGGTACTGTAGTTCCTTGATTAGGTTGGTTTTTTATTGTTTGTTTCTCTGAGTTGGTGGTTCTTTGATTGGAGCATTGTTTACTGCTTGATTGTTGGTCTGATATTAATAGGAATAGCACTTATACTTATATACCACTTCACAGCTCTTTACAACCCTCTCTAAGTGGCTTTCGGAGTCAACACATTATCCCCAACAATCTGGGTCCTCATTTTACTGACCTCAGAAGGATGGAAGGCTGAGTCAACCTTGAACCAGTGAGAATCGAACTGCCAAACTGCTGGCTGGAAGCAGTCAGCAGAAGTGGCCTGCAATACTATGTTCTAACCACTGCGCCTGGTGTTTATCTCTGCTTATCTGAGTATTGATTGCTGATGAAAAAAATGTTTTGGTTTTTTGTTTTGTTTTTTTAGCTTTTTGACTGTCCCACTTGAATGGATGTATTTATCTTCATGTGCCTCTTGATGGCTTCTTTATATGAGTGCCAGGCTTCCAGGAATTTTCTAGCATTTTGGACTTAAATGTCACTTGGTGTAGGACAGTGTTTTTCAACCACTGTGCCGCGGCACATTAGTGTGCCGTGACATAGTGTAAGGTGTGCCGTGGGAAAAACACTTTATATATAGTCAATATAGGCACAGAGTTAAGTTTTTTTAACATTTTCTAATGGTGGTGTGCCTCGTGATTTTTTTCATGAAAAAAGTGTGCCTTTGCACAAAAAAGGTTGAAAAACACTGGTGTAGGATGCTCAGTTTTAAGTCTGTCTCTGAAGTCTGTCTCAGTACTATACAATTGAGGAGTTTTCATGATGTCTCTTGGCTACTAGTTGATGCTCATGGGTGTCCTCTGCTAGTCTTCTATCTGTCCTATGTAGTGGCTATTACAGGCCTTATACTGTAGATTGTAGATAATTCTTGTTTTTTTTTCCTTTTAGGGCTACTGGATCTTTGGTTTACTTAAGATGTTTTGGAAAGCTTTAGTTGGTTTGTGTACTATGGTGATGATCGTAATAATCTGTTGGTTGTTTCAGAGATGTTTTTAATGTATGGAAATGTTATCCTTTTTCATAGCTTGTGTGAGTTATCTTTTGAGTGGTCAGGCACTTTTTAACAAAGCTACCTGGGTATCCATTTTGTTGGAAGATGTTGTAGAGGTGATCTATTTCCTTTTCCTGATGTTCAGGTTTGCTAGTGTGGGCTTGTGCTGATCTAAAAAGTGTTCTTAGGTAGCCTCTCATGTGGGACGTTGGGCTGTTACTGTGGTAGTGGAGCACTTGATTAGTGTGGGTGGTTTGACAATAAACTTTACCAAACAGCCCTTACTTATGTTGATCAGGATGTCTAGAAAGTTCAATGTTTTGCTTTCTTCTTCTCTTGTGAATTGTATTCCTTTGAAGATGATGTTATTTGTTTCAGGTGCCTTTGCCTTTAGTTGTTTCTATTTTATTATGATGAAGGTGTTATTTCATCATATCGATCTGTACTTTTGATTGTATGTGTGAGACTGCTACAGTTTCTACATGCTGTATTATAGTTTCTGCTACGAGTCCTGAGAGCAGTGATCCCATGGGTGTTCCTCTGATTTATTGGTATATTTGTCTGTCAAATTGAAAGTAGGTAGTAAGGCAAAGGTCCATGATTCATGATCCATAAAATTTATTAGTACACAATATTGCACACATCAAGACTACTCCAAGACATTTTCCTGTCTGAAGCAAACAATAAGATACCTTTATCACTCATCCTACAGATAAATAGTTGAATTCTATTACCGACTCTTGTCCAGGGAGAACACCCTTTTGCAACTGAGGGCAACAAAATAGCTTTGGGAATATTAGACAAAGTGCCTGAAAAATACATGGTTCTGCTCTCAAAATGAGGGTGCTACCTGGGGGCTATTGCCACCATTCTCCAGCATCTTTCACTTAAACCAACCAATTCACTCTGTCTAATGACCCAGATATAAATCATGCTTTCTTTAGGCATAGGTAAGAGCAGCAAGAAAGTGGTTGATTCATAAAAAGATTACACTATTATTCCATTCTTTCTCCCCAGTCAGATTTACTATAATGAGTTCGCCTGATCTGAGTTCCAGATTTGCATTTAGATTATGAAACTCCTAATACAGAAGAACCATCAAACTAATCGGCAATTGGCAGGAAAGAAACATCATTAAATGCCCAAGAAATCATCAAAAATCAGTATTGAATTGACTTGAATGCAACTTAAATTAATTCATGTTTATTTGTAGTTGTATGGCTCTTCCATTTTATAAAAAAAGGCAAGAAAATAGATAGGTGGAAGAACCTTGGAGAACCCAAAACAGTCACATGGCAAAAGTAACATGTGGTGATTTCAGAATAAATGCCAAATATCCCCTGTAAAAGTGATCCATATGCAGCTTTTGCTTAAAGAGAATAAATTCTTTGTATATTAGAGTATAGAGTATGGAAAGAGCCTGTAAAGTATATTTCAGTGATGGACAAGCTTGATTATTATAAGAAGTGTCTTAATTCCACAGTAAAAAGAAGAGATATTTCCACAACAAATCAACCTGATCAATCATTGCAAGGGGATTGGCTTGTAAAAACAAAATCTGGAAAGACAAATTGAGTGCTTCATGCTTGCTTAAACCATGACAATAGAATAGGAACCTGGGATGGAACAATAAGTATTGATTCATTCTTCCAATAAAGATGAAATATTGAGAGTGCTTCTATGTATGCCTCAATGTGAAGTCAGCCAATTAACTATGAATTTGAATATAATTTATTTCTCCATTTATCACGCTATAACCTGACAGTCATTGCTTAGGCATCTTCCCTGTGCAAGATTTCTTCTCTTTAGCACTCTGCTCTGTGAATCACCACATTTGATCATATGAAGGATTAAATAAGATTAAGTGTCAAATGCCAAGACAAATTGAATGTTTCATGCTAAAAAAAAAAACCCTGAACATTTTATAAAGGAAACTTCGGCAATGAAAAGTTTCTAAATGATCAAAGTTCCCGTATCTTTCTTCTTTAGTCTTAAAGGTAATAGTCACACTTCCAAGCAAATCATTCGTCTGTAAGTGGCTCACCTTTTTTTTCTTTAAAGAAGGTTATGAGGCTTTATAGGGCCTCATAACCCTAAAATAAAGGTAATTCTTGAACTAGCACCTGTGTTTTGCAGCATGCTTTTTGATTGATTGATTGATTGATTGATTGATTGATTGATTGATTGATGTAAAGATTTAAGTGGCACAGAAAACCTTTAAGTACAAAAGGAAATGTCCATGTTGGGAACTAGATGTAGGATATGACCAGACTAAGCCCCGAGGGAAGGATCAAATGCATCATAAGGCATGAGTCCCTGCTGCCCGCAAGAGATCTAACTCCATCCACCTTGAATGCCTCTCTTATCTCCTGCTCATTTCCCTTGGCTGTTAGTTGGTCAGATTATTATAGAGAGCTTAAGTTTGCAAT